CATACGACACCCCTTTAGGGTTGGTCGAGTAGCTGCTGACGGAAAGTCGCGACGCGCTCGGACGCCGTTGGCTCGACGACACGCTGAGGTCGTCGCGGAAGCTGTTTTCGTACGACGGCGAGCCTAACCTAGAACAGTCTTCGTCCGAGTCCGAGTCCGTGAGCGACAAGACGCTCTGCTGCTGCCGGTCAGAGTCCATGGTACTCATAATGGACGGCGTAGCCTTCGAGGTGCGCGTGTGTCGGCTCGAAATACTCGCTGGATAGTCACTCCTCGAAGTTGGCCGTAACTGCACAGCGCCTGGTGTCGCGGTCCTGGCCGCCGTAGCCTTGCTTGCCTGTGACGCATCTCGACTGTGATTCCACCGCGCGGTCGGGTCTCTATCCATCGACGTCGGCGACGGCGCGGCCTTATGCTCGAGGGACACCTTCGAGGCTGTTGGCTCGTACGTTCGAGGAAGCAAGTGCTGCTCGCCGAACCGCGATGCCTCCCCTGCCGCTTCATCTTGCTCGTTCTCGTCCTCGGTCAAGTCTGTAGCATACCTAAACGACATCTGCTCGTAATGGTCATAGAGTTGGTGCAGCGTGTTCGTGTCACTCGCTACCGTCAGATGCCCTGGTTTTACCATCGGTGCTATGGTTGGAAGAGACGGGGGTTTCGTGTCCGGCTTCGGGGCGCTTCGACTGCTGCCGGGAGTTGTGGGCGACGGCCCGGTCAGCGAGGACATGGAGGGCAGCATATGTGACATGATCGACGGCGACTTCGTCACGTAGTTGTTTCCTAGGACCGGTCCGACCCCGTGAGCCTCCGAGCCCTGATCTTTACGACTTCTCAGCCTCAGCTTGGAGAAGTCTAGCTTTCCAGGTTTCTTCTTCTGCTGTACCGTGCCGCCGAGCGCCCCGTCTATATCCAGCAACGCACCGGCTTTCGCCGGAAGTCCCTTGGCCATTGCAGAATTGGAAGTCTGCTGAGATATGGAGAGCGGCATCTTGGCGGATTCGTAGTGCGAATATGCGGTAGAGCTGGACTGGGGCCGGGGGGAGTAAGGGTCGTCCGTCATACCATCGCGGCTGCGAGCACCAAGGGTGACTGCAGACCTCTGTGGCTTCACCGCTTTCCCCGCTGGCCCATGTGTGCCGCGCAGCCTACGCGGGAGGGCCTCGGATTCATCTCCCCATCGCGACGCGGCGTAGGCCGTTCCACCAAGTCTGTCGTCGTCGTCGTCTTCCACATCGCTATGCTGGCTAGCGCTGCTCTCGGATACCGATATGCTAATGCCGCCGTTGGAGCCCGTCTCCCATGACCGACCGCTATCCTTTGCTCCGGCGCGCGAGCGGTGGTTCACGCCACCAGCCCCCAGGATCTTCTCTGCTTTCGAGAGAGGGTTCGAGATCGTCAAGGTTGGTGGCTGCTTCGGGGAGCGTCCCGGCATGGGAAACGTAAACTTGGCCATCTTCGAGAGCCAGGTAGTCGAGTCGGCAATAGGTTAATAACAGAAGCGAAGCACTTCAGTATGTCAGGACTTTTTGCGACTTTGTCCAGAGCTGCCCGGTGAATCTGAATTTACTCCGCAGCTGGTCATTAGCAGCCGTCAAACTCAAACAGCTGTCTTCTTTCTCTCTTTCTGCGGCAATGCCACTAAGCAGACAGACGTGTGCCGCAGGTTACCAGTGTCGAAAATATGTTGCGTCGCAGTAAAATCGTATCCAGAAACCGGGGGTATAGACCGCCGTGGAGTCAGGACGGATGTCCAACAGCCGCGGTGTTTCGGTGGGAAATCAAGGTATCAGCTGCAAGTAGACTCCATCCGGCAATCCCAAGGGGACCTGCTCTCGTATCCAGTGAGTAGAAGTAACAGTCGTCCCTAGCATTGCATGTCTGAACAATGGCAATGTGCTTGACTCGAAGTTCTTTCGCTCTGCGGAAGTCGACAGGCGACTTATCGACTCGGTGAAAGGACAGAAAAACAAGAGTGGGAAAAAAAAGAAAATAGCAAGAATGTAGGGGACCTGGGCCGGTTAGGTAGAGCCGTGATGATTGGCTTCTTCGCGCAGCTCCCGCTCCCTAAGCTCCTACACTCTGTATGCCGTCGTAGGATCCTAACATCGGTTTCAAGGGCGTTACCTCGCACGTGGATATGGAGCAGGAATGGGATGTCAGAAGAGGGGGACAGCTGGGAGGGAAGGAGAACAAAAAGGGACCGGCATGATAGTCTTGTCACGACACGGACTCTCTTCCTTTTTTTTTTTCTTCTTCGTCTTATTTCTTATTTTTCCCTTGGATATTAAAATTGGAGACGGCACGATGTGTACATGTCCGTACGCTAGGCGACTTGGTACCGGGGAAGCAAATCTGGCGGTCCGCGCGTGCGAATAGACATGCAGGAGGTACAAGCACTTGACATGCATATGTATGTACCCTTATTCCTACATACAGTAGTTCGTGGAGACAGAGCCCGTGCAAGCAGCAGCTACTACATAGTATGCAGTATGTCTAGGGAGTATTTCGTATAGGCCTAGGGTGTCGTCTAGGGTATCTTGCAACGAATCTTCGGCTCGGCGGTGGGCCACCTACCTACTAAGGCATGCAACTCAAAAGCCACCGGCACGATGGCACGATAGCTACAGACGCCAAACCGGAAGCAGTCCTAGGTGACCTGCAGATAGATTGCAATCCTCGAATACACAGTAACCCCGTCGTGCCCGTCGAACCGTACCGGTGAGCCCCCGGCTACTTCAGAGGATCCAAGGGACCTGGCAAAGAGGCAAAGCCGCTGCCAAGTTCGCTAAAGAGAGAGGGGAAAAACTCGGGGGCATGCGAGACCCCTGAGCCTGGGCTCCAGCTTGCCAGCTTGCCCAGCCCACCAGCCCGCCCAGCTCTCGCCATGGCCCGCCCTGGCCCTGACCCTGTTCATACCGAGTTGCAGCGATCCGCTTTGCATATCCGTAATAGTACATACAAGTAGAATCGTAGGCGAGTTAGCGTACGGATATGTACTATTACTATGTACCGACTACACCTCCTGGCACGGCTAGCCGACCTGATACATGATCTGATGGTGCCGTGTTCGCCTGTAGAGAAGAAGCACACGACAATCACGGAGAAGGACGCGAAGAATCAAGGGAGAAGTAGGACACTATGTAGTATGTAGTACTCGTCACGTAAACATTAAACATTAAACATCTGTATAATGTATAATATCTACCTACTATAAGTCAGATCGGTCCATGCAAGCTGTTAGCTCCCAAGCTATAGCAGAGCGATCTTACTTAGTAGCAGCAAATGACCACATCAATGCTAATAAACATCGGACGCTCATCTCATTAAACACACGGCTGTCGACCGCTAAATTCGGCAAGCGGCAAGGTTCATGGAACTCGAGATGGCCCCGACGAGAGCTCGAGTCCAGGCATTACCTGGCAACGAATGGCTTCGACGGCTCATCCGCTTTGCCTCTGCTTATGCAAAAGCAAAAGAAGCTTGATTCTTGATTCGATCGGCCCCCTTTCTGCTCCGTCATCGATCACGTCTGCATAAGTGCGTGCGACTTATGCATTGGGATGTTGGATGGATCGTGACCCGAGAGGCGATGAAACGACGAGACGGATGGCGTCCAATTGATGGGCTATCTTCAGCAGCCTGCTGTGTATTACGTATGCAGAGTAATTAGTCTCATCAGCCTCAACTCGTCTTTTTTTCTTTTTTTTTTCTTTTTCTTTCTCCCCCCTATCAACCACCTGGGCATCTCAGACATCGGCAGCACGGCTGCACGGGACGAGAATGGTGGGAGATCTAGGGGACCGCATCGCCAGTCAAACCGTCATTCGGTAATAGATCGACGACCTAATCCGTAGCTGCTCCTCCTTTGCCGTAAATGGCGGAATATCGCGCCCACCCGCTAAGTCGAGCCGCTATAGCAGGTCTCTGATAAGTGCAGGACAGAAATAAAATTAGACGACGAATAGCCTCCAATACTTTGCACCGAGCCTAAGCAGCGAAAGGTCTAGAGCCACGCACTCGGGATGCAGCTAGTCTTCTGGCTAGAGCAACGCTCTGCGCAAGGCGCCGCGCGTGGCCCATCCTCATCTCGGCCTCCCGCAGCTTCGTGTTTGCCAGACGCAGCTGAGCCCGGTGTCTCAACTTGAAGCGGCGAAAGGTGGCACGAAACCCTCCCGTCGTGCAACACGGGACGAGGCTGCAGAAAACCGTTGCGCTTTTTCAGCTTCAGCTGGCCAACGAGCCTGATAATTTCCTGCCCTCACCTGAGGCAGGCCTGAGGCAGGCTGCACGTCCCGACGCAGACCACAAAGTCGTATCACGGCCAGTTGCTTCTATAGCAAGCAGCAGGGTGCATAGGAGGTAGGCAAGTTCAGTATGTAGTTTTTGCCCAAGTGAGATAGCGCCCCCTGTTGGCGTCGCTGTTGTCCTTTTTCTTGCTTCTTTGACGAGTCGCTTGCGATGCGACGGCACCGTCTAGACGGTTCGAAAAATATCCAGCCTCGACGGCGCGCGAGGCTATTGGCAACGTCCGTCTTTCCCACGTGCATATTGCCGATGTCAGTTGTAGTCCTCAGTCCGTCGGCTTCTTGTTTGGTACGTCTTCGCTACGGCACGACTCAGCCATCGCTCGTCTATTCGAAGGGAGGCTACTGTGCTCTCCCGGCGCAATGCCACTAGCCGCATCACATACAGAGTCCGCGTTTGTTCATCATCATATTCGATATACTCGGTGCATTCTAGTAGGCTGGCAGAATAGGAGACAGGCATCCATCACGCCAACGCGATGGATGGCAGTGCAATTGGCATAATTTTGAACTCAACACGAAACTTCTCAGTAGCAATCGAGAATAGCCTCCTCGTCTACTTCGTACATATACAAGTGCAGCGTACCGGTGTGAATGATGAGGTGAATGTTGGGAGAGGAGGTGATGAAAAAGGCTAAAAAGCAGTTGTGAAAAAATCGAAAAAAAGAAATTGTTGATTGAGCAATCATGGGTAAGCGACGCCTGCAGGATTCGAACCTACGCCCCCGAAGGGATTGCCTGTCACTGCTATCTGCGAGAATAGCAGGGCAACGTGTTAACCACTCCACCAAAGCGCCTGTTGTCCTCCCTTCTAAGGAGGGCCATCACGTGACTGTAGTGAACACGACTTGTTAGAAGCTGGTCTGGCATTTGCCCTTATATACCACAAGCAGCAGCCAGGTGACTTAGGTAAGTCTCACTGCTAGAGTGGACCTCCTCCGCCAATCGCCCAATCGGTTCGTGGCAATCCGACGTCCAATATGATGGTCCGTAAAATTTTGTAGAAGTAATTCCGTTGTTTATCATTCACAATGTCTGAGCCACGCCTAAAGTCAGATTCATGTCACTAGAAGAAGTCAAAGTGTGAAAAAAAACATTGATTTCTATCAATGTGAGTATCCCTGCCACTAACTAGTCGAGTGTCGAGTGTGTGTAGTCGCAGGTGATGGCTATCAGTCGCCAACTCATCAATCAGGTCCAGGTCCGGGTCCGGGGTATCATACAACCATTCCTACAGTAGGTTTTTTTTTTGGTTTTTTTTTGGTTCTTCAGAGCGGGAGAAACGGGACAACATTGCAGTTGGGCGTGTTGTTCGTCTTTGCAGACACCGAGCTCCCTGACAACATATCTGTCTGATTAATGCTCTGAAGAGAAGAAGTGTAGGAAAGAAAAAAGCAAAGAACGCCCAAACGACGAGAAGGAAATCCGATTCATGATACGGCCGGGATGCCAAAGCTTATAGAATCAGCTTAGGCATTGCCGGTTCGACAGGTAGCCAGTGATGCATTGGCTAGCCAGTTGAGTCAGTCCAGGTGCACTCGGAGAGGCCACTGTCAGGTTGCCGTCCGTAGCTGTGCCAGGGTAGATGCCATTATGCCTTCCAGGTGTCAGATCGTCTGCCACGCTGAAGGGCGCGCGACTCGATGATAGCAATCATCCGGCGACCAGCCTGCGCATCAACCTGTTGACCATCTCGCGCTCGGATCACCGAGTAATCTTGGCTCAGGGAGTTTGAGATGTGCTGGATGTGGGTGTTGTCAACGTGCACCTTGCACAGCCACTCTACCTCGAAGGGCTCTGAGATGTTCCAAGTGACGTCGTGCCACCAGCGGGGTCGAACAGTGTTGACCGAGGGAACCGACTTCATGAGCGCCTGGGATAGGGAGATGTGTCAGTAAAGAACATAATCTGAAATAAGGGACGGTAAGAGACATGACGAAACGTGGAAGGAATACTCACGTAGCCCTGAACACCACGAGATTGGTTCACTCCAAAGATGAGGACCACAGCCTTGGCGGAGGCAAAAGCCTTGCTCATAGCCTCGACATTGGTAGCCTGAGTGGCCCAGAGGCCATCCTCCTGCAAGAGAATCAGTTGTCTGTTCTAGTTACATGTTGTCGGTGAGGAAGACACCTACCATGCAGTCGTAGACATGAGCCCAGCTGTAGGAGCGCATGACGAAGAATGCGACATCTGTAAGACGTTGACGGTAACAAGTCAGCAATCGTGAAAATATACGAGGCTTTCAGTCATGGCTTTGTTCTAGACTCACCGGAGTCGCTACCGTCCTTCTCACGAAAGGAAAACGGCTTGGGTCGGTCCATCAGAACTCGTTCTCGGCGCAAGTCACGTCTGTCATCCTCAAACTCTCTCTTCATAGGTCTGAATCGGCCGGGCGATCGGTCCTCGCGTTGCTTGCGGTCGTTGTACAGACGAGTGATGCGCTCTTCGAGAGGACGAGAGGCACGGGATTCAATCTCGTGCTTGACGGCAGGGAGAGGCTCGGGGGTTCTTGCGTAGCGATCGTTACTCGTGTATCGTGAAGGGTATTCGCGGCTACGACGATCATAGCTGTCCTCACGACGACCATGACCGTTCTCACGGCGGTGGGGTGAGTAAGAACGACCACGAAAGTACGGCGTCCGATCACGGCCACGAAAGTACGGCGTCCGATCGCGACCAACCCGCTCATCACGGCCAGTATAGCTATCGCGACGGCGAGCCAAAGCCGTCGAGTTGGATTCAGACAGGTTGGCCGGAGTACGAGCAAGAGTACGTCCGTTCTTGGCATCGTCGCTCTGGTCGTTGACGACATTCGAGTTGTTGTCCAGGTCTCGGTCCATCTTGCGAAGACGGTGCTGCGTAAGTCGCTTACGACGATGCTCGATATCGTGCCAATGGGTCAGCTCTAGCCAATCCTGTATGTCCATATTGAGGATCGACTCCCCAACGATATGGCCTCGGGCGCGACCGCGCGTGTCGTCACGGTGACTCATGTTGAGTGTCTTCCTAAACCTGGTGCACCTTTGTAAGTTTGTGCCTGAGTCGCAAGAATAGACGAAGGGTGTAGGGCTTCGATTGGTAGAGATACTCTCTTGTAGTTTAGGAAGAGATGCTGAAGGAAGGTATGTGTGATTTGCTTGAAAGAGGAAGCGGATAAATATCCATTGCTCTCTTCCGTGAATATAGAAGGGTCTACCTACCTTGGATAACTTGTTAGGTTGACTTGTTGTTTGTTTGCACTTGGGTCTATTCAAGCGCGATATTCTTCCAGGTCGCTGTCGGCTTGTTGAGGTTGAGGAAGAGTGTGGTTTGCTTGGGGAAGGATTATCGCGAAGTACCTTGTGTTCTCGATACAAAAGTTAGAAGTATCAAATAATCCAGTATCAAAAAGGCGCGGTCGATACAATAGACGTGAAAGGGATGGAGAGGAGAGAGGTGGAGCGGGAGAGTGATTTGGTATTTGGAAAAAAGGTAGGGTGACGAAGAACGAAAATAAAGAAGCAGAGATGGCGTCTGAAATGCTTCTTCATAAGGCCTAGTGCCTGCCTTCCAACCGTTATTCCAGTAAAGCAAACAAGTGGTGAACAGCTGGTTAACCGACTGCGCGTTGCTCGGTATTGGTCTGTGGACGCGTCGGGCAAGGAGAGACAGCTGCTTCGTCGCCGTAGTGATCCCGCTCTGCCGCGACTGTCCGCCCTTCTCCTCGACTACGTCGAGTAAATACCGTCGTTCTAGGTGAACGCTAGGTATCCACGGCCTTAGGTCCTGCTAGAATCATACGTCCCTACGTGCGTAGGCGTCAAATTACTTGTAGATATAGTACGTCTCTATATCGCATACCCCTGATAGGCGACGACGGAGATTTGTATGCACCTAGGTACCTACGTAAGGTACACAACGAGGAAATCAGTTTTACATTAGCCTATGGAAATGTTTGGAGCTCAAAGACTAATGACAGGCTACCAAATTTACTATGTATAGTGATGGCTTCATTGTTCGCTTGATATATATCTGACTACGGGTGCACTGAGAAAGTACAGATGGTATAGAGAGGATATCTACCTTAGGTATGTACTACCTACGCCGGTGGGAGGAAGGAAGCAAACAATGCCCCTTGAATAGTGGCATACATGACCATAAACCTCACAATGTTGCTGCCGGCTGCAGAGGTCTTGCCGTCAGCTAGGAGCTTTGCCAGCCACCAGTACCAGAGCGGATAGCCCGACGAGATTCTTGTTATGATTTGAATGTGATAGTTTGTTATGGATAAGATGGCCAATACAAGCTGAGCCGCGGCCATTGCTCGAATCAACATTGCTTGGTCGGCACTGTTGACCGACGCAGGAGCTCCATTGGCCTGGCTCAAAGGCCGTCCGATGAATTCCAGCCCGGACTTGATGAGAAGATAAAGCACCGGCATGGCGAGGAGGAATAGAGGGATGTTCGGCGGCGTCCAATAACGAAGGAAGCCAACGTTCCTGTACTTGATGTTAGCGGGATCGGCAAAAGACGCAGGGTCTACTAACCAGTAACGCTCCTGGACAAACGAATAGACACTGGGCAAACCACTCGTACACCAAGGCCTTAGTTCGGCTAGAGATTGGGGAGAGCAGAAGGTTTGGTAGGCAACAAGCTGCGGAACGACAAACCCTGCTGCAATTGCCAGGCCCCCAATAATAAGAGCACAGCGTCGACGTATACTAGACAGCGACGGTGCTCTGAATAGCTCCTGGACTAGCGCGGCAGCGAAGGGAATCCCGTTAAAGAGACCATTGCTACGAAAGGTAGTTGCGAATCCAAACCACATACCCGAAGCGACTAGACTAACGTCATGGGCGAAAGTCCTCTTGGGCCCGAGCAGGCCTTTGGCGAGGAAAAGGTAGCCGGAGAAGGACAGGAGGGCATAGGTGCTCTCGTTATACGGAGCTGACAAGAAAATTCCTGCTGGAGATAGGATATGTAGCACGGCTGCAATGAACGACAGACGTTGGTCTCTCCAGATCACAAGCCCAAGCTTGAACAAGACGAGAGCCGAGAGGAGGTGAGACGTGTGAGAAACACAGACAGCCACAATTGCCTCAAGAGAGGGACCGTTTTGTATGCCAAAATTCGAAAGTACTATACACACTGGTAAGACAAGGCGGCAGACGGGGATAACATGAGTATAGGGTATGGGGTACCTTGAGTGAGAAAGGAGATGACGGTTGGGAGACCGCTACCAAAGGCCCATTCCTGCTCAAACAGATAGCCTCGACGAGAGTTCTGGATGATGTATATGGCGTCCCATCTGGCTAGCTTCGTGGCCAGGTCAAAGGGGGATTCCTTGGATGAAGGTATGTCAGGGGATAGCAGGGTGCTTGAGGTGTCGTAGGCAGGGCCGACGCCGCTCCCGAGAGCAACGGCCAGCAGGAATCCTTTCCAGGTGACAAAGGTGCCGACTAAGGACGAGATAGGTCTCGTGTGGTCTAACGAAAGCATTGTCGGAAAGAGTCTCGTGAGAGTTGAGGATACGGCATACTGATATCGAGGCTTGAGAGACGACTGTTGGTATGGGACGTTGGACGTTGAAAGTGAAGTAGCTAAGCCACAGGAGTGGCTGACCTAGTGCGATGGCAGTGAGCTATGCAGATTACCGGTATGATGTGTAACTTATCGGTTAAAGGGATTAAAAGAAGGTGATGGCGGGGTTATGCAGCTGTACTAGGCTATGCATATATCCCATGAAACGCTATATCCATCTTGTAGAGGAGTTAAGATGCGGACTATTCCTTTGCAAACCGCCGACGCTGGTTGA